ATGGATATAAGATAATATGAATTAAATAAAGGAATGGTGCACAGATTTCCAGTTTCAGAATCTGCCGTAACACTTCAGCGAGGCACAGGCTCTCTGCATCAGACAAGCACAGCATAACTAGACAGGCTTCTAGCACAGTGACAGTGTGTAAGCCCAGGCAGAAGGAAGTCTCACATGCCAGTTTGTCCACCAGTAGCAGGTCTTTGATATCATGGAGGCCAGAGTCACTCAGGAACTGCAGGACTGAGACAGGATAAAATGAGCTTTTTTGGGCAGAAGGAACACTTCTCCAGTGGTAACTTTCTGCCAAGGCAGGAAAGACATGCAGAAGAAACCCACAAATTGAATGATGCTTGCAAAATGTCCCATGGCTAGAATGTGATTTTAGGGGAGGTCACTGCTTGTAGCACTCATAAAAAAGATGAGTAGAGGACTGCAGGCACAGAGTTCCACAGGAGAGACACGACGAGGCAAAAATGGAGATCAGACAGTGAGAAGAATACTCAGAGGCACTCTAGTTACAGAGCGCTACTCCTCAGTTGTGCCACTGAAAACGCTAGTCATACTGTCTCTACATACATAACCAGGCACTCAGGATGTGTCTCACAACTCCACTCCTCCAAACAGTAACTTTAAAAAAAACCACTGCACTCAAGTAAAAGAACATACAAATGCTGACTGAGTGAATGCATATGTTGATTATTATTTGGAAATAGGAACTATTGCTTTAAGTTCTGTTTTGCTTAATTATTCATTATTTACTACCTAAATTATGCATAAAAACCTCAAGTACTTCCCAGTTTTCTTCATGTAATGCAGACTCCAAGGTGTGGTAAGAAAGTTATGCAGTGAGGTGTCCCTTCCTTCCATTAGTTGTAAGAAAAAATAAATTACAATTCAGCATATAATTCTCAACCTCGTTACACAATGATTTAAAGTCTACTGAGTACAATTACTTCATGCTCAGCATACTTATTCCTGTATAAAACTTTATCACCCCCACAAATAAAGGCATCATAGCACTCTGCAGGACAACAGTAGTTGATGAGGATTTTTTATATGTTTTACCCTTCGGCTGTTCACAAATTACTTCCAGAGTTAATATGAATTTCACTTCATAGCAATATTCTTCCTCGAACAGGGACTTAAGTGCAGAATCTTGTTCTATCTGTTCATATATGAATTGAAAGTATGGATTATTCTCATATGAATTGAAAGTATGGATTATTCTCATTTCTTATAACATTCAGAAACAATACCACACAAGATTAACACACATCTCTTCTTCGCTCATCTCTCCACCTGCAACATCTAACCTTTCCAACACAGCCTTATCCTGTCTTTGTTTGCTACACTTGCTGGACAAGACAGCATGTTCTGTGGTTGTAAACCAACTATATTCTTTCTTTCCTGGCTGAATAGTCAACAGACAGGCTAGGTGGTCAGTCGGCTGGCATAACGCAGTTGCGCTTTGCTTTTTAACTTAAAGCTCTAACCTACAGCTTGGGGAACATAAAATCCAAGGGCACTTTTCACACTTCTATAATGTATCTTCAGTATGTCCAATAGACAATAGGACTGCATAAACATTGTTTCCTTACGAAAGTCAGAAAAATAAGGCTACTCGATTTTTTGCACAAAAGTAATATACAAACAAGTTGCGAATGGCAACAAATTGATTTTATACAGCTTACAGTAGTGTCAATAAGTTTTTTTCTAGTATTCAATCAGATCTGGAAATGCTTTGCTCTTCAAACCATGAAGTGGTTTGCAGGATGCAGTCTGCAAAACCTTTTCAAAATTACTGTTACTTTCATTCAGTTTGCCTCTTGTCACTGTTAGAGCTGAGCAGCATACTCAATCTTGTCGATGGTGGTGATTCCATGTAGAGGCAGTTAAGATTTTAATATTAGCTCCTAGAGATGAGTCTTAATCACTTTTTAATTAGTTCACTTCTCCTGTCAGCAAATATTCTCCCTCTGATGCTCTCAAACTGTTCTCACTAACTGCGTTATAACACAGCTCTTCAGTTGCTGTGTATGCACATGGTACGTACACTTCATTGCATTAATCCTGCACTAATAGTAGAATCCTCTCTAAAAAGCGAGAAGAAAACCCAAAACAACAAACTATTTTGTATGTTTAAAGAAGACTCTAATTTCAAATCAAGTGTCAAAAAACGAAAAGAAAAAATAAAGGGGGGGCGGGGGGGCCCACAAGGGGTAAGTAAATCCAATATGCTCAAATAAAATAAAATGCCACCTCCTCAGCTAACGTCAATTATTGCACCTAACAAAATGACTTGGATTTAGAACAGCTAAGATATTGTTCCACATTCTTGAAAAAGATGCAACAATCGAAGAAAACAATTTGTATTAAGCACTACGTAGTGTGTATAGTGAAAAATATCAAAATAGTATGTATGAAAAAAATACATACAAAAAGAAGACATGAACAGAAGATAAACATGTTGTCTAAGTGTAAGTTATTATAAATATAGATTTTTTTTGAAATTAGACACATTAAAAAGGAAAAATTGTCTCAAATTTGGACTTTTGGTAATTCAGTCCTTGCCCACATTAGGATGTTTTTGACCTATTATCAACTTCCTATCTTTAACCTTGGATCTTTTGCTTATATGAACATGTACATGATTTTACAGCATCTGCCAATAAGTAGTGCCCATTTCAGGAGGATGATTAAAGTTAGAAGGAAATACTGTAACAGTGAGATTACTGCTTGGTGGTATATCTGGAAAATATTTTCAATATAAAAGCCTGTAATTCTGGTAAATATGGCAAGAATCAAATTCTAAGTTGTTTACTATTTCTGGCTTCCAATAGAAATCAAAAAGGTCATAAATCCTTTTATCACAGAACATTAGCATGATTTACAAACATTAATAAAAGCTCTGCAACGAAGCTTTAGATATAGAGTTTTGTTTCCTTAGGTCAGATACTCTAGCTTTCTCCATACTACCACTTCTTTTTCATGACGAAACTAAACTCACAAAAAATGTTTATTCATGTCCTCTCATTTTCCATAAACCAAACCTCCATTAATTTTCTTCCAAAATCTCTTTCATATGACAGTACCTTGCTCTCTTTTCCTTCTACATACATACTTACCAGTTTTATGATTTTACACAAGTTTCTAAGCCTACTAAAATTACTTTTTCTTTTAACTACATTTTATAGATGCCTCCATTTCATTTTTAACAATGCTTCCTCTTGCAAAGCTATCTTTTTATATCCAAATAAACCAACTGATATTCTGGAAATCTAGTCTTAAACTCTCTGAAGCCCTTTCAACAGCTTTTTTTTTAGCAATGTAAGAATTATTGTAGGGCATGCAAGCAGCCTACACTCTAGCGTTTACTATCAGTGTGTCACAAATTATCAAAACATTGGTCTTATTCCTGTTTCGAGTACACTGCAGTCAAAATCTATATCACTAAACCAGAAACAGACATCAGCAAAAAGCCTACTGCTTAAATACAATTCACAGTGCTTGTTCAGATAGCTGTGAGCCACTTTAAAAATAAGCTGTATCTCTGGTGACCTCCACCTGTGCGTGCTAAGTGACTTGAGTTTAGTATCATGTAACAACACTTCCAAAAATAAGTGTATATACAGGGGGAGTTTCTGGCATGACATTTTTTATCTAATAAAAAAGGAAATAAAGTTTCATAATGTGATGCGTAGCCTAAGAGCTTAAGACAATTCTCATTGCCAGGCACGTATCATTAAGCATCTTATATAATCAGCTGTTCTGTTACTATCATCACATTAAGGGTGAGTGAGTAGTTTTCATGGCTTTCCCAATCCATTTTCAAGAGTATTATTAGAGTTACCATCATTGTGATTATCATCATCATCATCATCACAGCAAGCTGTTAATTTTGGTATGCCCAAAGGCAAATAAGTCATTACTTACTCATCAACAAAACTACTTGCTCCAGATACAAAGGTAGGCAGATTTTTGCTAGACTGATAGATCAATGAAAGAACCCAAGGCCTTCCTATAAAACAGTATTCTCAACATCAGCAGTTTTTGTAAATACTTTTGTATTTCCAAAGGCCTGCTGCCACTCCAAACCCTCATTTGGCCAATTCAGTTCCTGTCCTACATTTAACACTTCAGCTACAGTTGCAATGTCATTGCACAGCAGGTAAAAAATATTTCTGGAACAAATGTCAGCAAGAGATAATTCTGAAATAACCTTCTGATCTATAGTAGCACAAGCCAGAAGATAACACTGCCATATAGGCTGCTTTGTTGGTAACCTGACACTGCTTTTGCTGGCATAGAAATTGTTTCTATAGATGGAAGGGGAAATAGTTGTAGAAATTCACTATAGAACTCCTTTTATTTCACAAATTTCTCATAAAGAACTGCCTTCAACATGAATTTGAATTGAAATGGAGGGGGAGGGAAGCTCAGAAACAATAAATACAAAAGGAACAATTAAAGAAAGACAAAATCTTTTAGATTACCTCATCTAAGAAAATGGCTCATACGGATGTTGGAGTATCTTTCAGTGAAGCACATTGTACTCATACTATGAAACATGGATACTAAAGGAAACCAGTTCGCTTTTATTTTACCTATAAATTGTAAATTGATGGATAAAGTGGTGCTTTAGTTTTTCAAAACCAAAATCCTATGGAAAGACTTCGAAAAGCATCAGACACAGACTCCAGTTGTGACAAACCACTAGTAGATTCAGGTAGTTAAAGCATGCACTCAATTTATACAGAAAGATGTTTTAAACAAAAAGATATGATTTCATGCCCTGTGTAATAGGCTCAGTGGCCAAAACTAACAAAAACACTTAGTGCCCTCATCATCAGCAACTGAAAGCTGTCACACATAAAAGCACGTTGCAACCTACAAAGTATCAAACTCACTGACCCAGATTTCGAAAAATCAAAATGATACCCCGAGTATATGCAGGGATGACAGGGGCAAAGTAGCAGACATGCAGTACAGTGACTTACCATCTTGGTCTGTGGTAACTGTGATAGCTGTGAACTGCTTGGGAGAGAAACTCAACTCCGAGACGCCATTCGTCGCCTCGATTTCAAAGGTGTAGTTCACATGTGACACGAAGTCCAGCACCGTCACAGAGGAGTTGATGAGACCTGTGTGCCTGGGAATGAAGCGGATTCCTCCCCCACAGATTTCACACTGGCTGGCATCTGACCCACATTTCTTACAGATGACACTGTAAGTGAGATCTTTTCTTCCTCCGGTATCACTTGGTGGGCTCCATTCCAACATGAGAGCTGTTTCGTTAATGTTAAAAATCACATTCCTGGGAGCAGAAGGTGGCCCTGGAAAGAAGGTAAAGAAAGACTGCTAAGTGACAACTGCCCATTTGGGGGGTGGGGGGAGGAGATACATAAATAATCATATTAATGTTAAGGCAGTTATTTACAAACAGGCATTAAAACACTGATGACTGAATAGTGAATGAAAAGAAAAATTTTAGAAATTGTCTACACAATTAAATTCCTTGAATATTAACCAGAAAGAATAAATAGGCAACATTATAAGAAGTTGAAAAATCTAAATGAGTTAGAATTTATTTCAGAAATAATTTAGGGCAACATATAAATTAGTTGGGAATGTCCAAGTTAGGCTTGGTAACACAAATTTGCACAAAATATCAACTGATCTTGTAGGGTACTGATGTTGAGCTTTAACCACAAAAATTATTTCCTTATTCTATGTTTAGCAAAGTAGGCTTTTCTGATACTTATGCTCTTTGATGTTTTATAAGTGTTAAAATGAGTAAGCAAATAAATAAATAACAGCTTCGGAATAAGTACAAGAAGTAAAATTGTATTAATCCTGCAGTCAGATTTTCTTTTTTTCCCCCTATCATTTCCTGCTATTATCCTCTGGGATTTCTTTGCTGCTATTCATTAATGGAGGTAGGTGGTCACAGGTTAAGAGCATCAGACACAAAAGACAGACGCACGGTTTTCAAAGGACACATAGTTTTCAAAGACAGTTTCTAAACATGCATAAAACTTACACACAGGACAAAACTCAAGGCTTTATGCTACAGGTTTGGATGTAAGACAAATGTGGTAAACCCAACTGGTGATTTCTGTATTTTTGTTGACTTAAATGAGCGTTACATTTTCAGATCTCAAGATTAAGTCAGAGTGCACGAGGACAGTTCAGTCAATTGTTAGTAGAGCTTTCAAAATTTTAAACTTGCTTTACAGATGTTCATGATTCATACAACCTGCCATTAAGACATAGCTATGAGACACTGGTTAAACTTTGAGTGAGCTTTTCATTATTCCAAGGACTCTAAAGCAGCCTGAAGGACTATACAAAACATTTGAAAATGATCTCAGCTCATTGTTGTAGATTTCACTCCAGAAATTGAGCAGTGAAGTCAGTCCATTCTGAGAAAGTCAGATAAATGAAATATCATAACTAACTATCTTTTATAGAAAGTTTAAGACAATCAGAGAAGAACTAAATAACCAAACTAACACCCCCCCCCCCCAAATAATTAATCAACACATTTATAAGTTCCAATTCAACAATCTGTAGCATGAGGACAAGGCCTATGCCCAAAGGATAGTCAGATAAATCATAACTTTGCATTAGGAAGGAAAACAAAATTACTAAAGCTCCTCATGCTATTCCACATATAAATTTGGATTCAAAATCTCAGTTAAAACAATATAATCAAGTTAGATCACTTTTTCCTAGTTATTCAATTCAAATTTTTAAATCTTATTTTTTCTTAATATTTGCATTATTTTAAGCTACTTTTTTTGGCTGAACAAAGATGCTGTGATTTAGAAAATCAAGCTTATGAGTAGCTCGTAAATATGTACCTATAACTGAAGTAAACTTATTTACTCAATTTCTTATTTCTTGAAGATGACCTAGACTACAAAAACAGACCATACCTTAATTGAAAACATTACTTCATCTTATATTTTAGCAAAATACTATACAATGGTAAAGATCTATACAATTATACCTACGTTTTGCAGAGAGAATTACTTCTAACTTGAAAGAAGGAAAGAGGCAATAATAGTTGCAGAGCAAAATGTCACTGTTCATCAAAATTTATAATTTTAAAGTGATGTTATCTGTTTATTTATGCAGCATAAGAATAAAAGCTGGAATGCTTATAAAAGGAAAAACTGTTTATATGGCATGGGAGGGATGATGTGAACTAAGAAATGCTGGGGTTTTCTGTGAATTGTAGTTGAACATTTGAGTTGCTTTTTGACTTCTGATACTTTTGTAATACTAAACAGCAGGAGCTATGGTATTATTAGAATGATTTTTGCCCTAAGGTTACTGAAGAGTTAGGTATTAGATTTCAAGCATTTGATCATTAAAGTACTTGGAGGTACTATATTACTTTTTTTTTTTTTTCAGTGGATAATAAGATTTAAAATATTTTGAATTATGTATTCATTTTTATATTTACCTGCGTAAAGTTTATGGTAGGGAAAAAGTAAAGAGCAGTTATTATTCATGGTAGAGAGGAAATATTTGCTGAATGTTATGTGCCTCATTTGCGCTGAAGATGAATATTTCTGGAATCCGACAGATGAAAATTATCTTTGTAGTTTGCAGTTTTTATGTTCACAAATCATTTCGACTATTTCCTTCCTGGCCTCTGACTGTGATAAATCTAACAGTGAAATACGAAATAACGTAATATGGAAGTATTTATAAATGTAACTTGTTAACAATGACTATTTACATTGATGCTTCATTTTTCCACTGATGTGGACAGCAGAGGCAAGGTACAGCCTTGAAGACGCTGATGTAGTAAACAAGCCTCTACAATCTGAGGGTGTCTCAGATTTAAAACCTTAACTTCCTGTAAAATTACAATGACATTGGCAGACGGAGCTACTCTGGAAAACAGTTCTTTGACTGGAATAAACTAAAACCAGAATGGATGAATTCAGCTTCAGTTCTTAGTATTTACGTGTAGAAGAGAGGATAATTATGTTTCCTCTAAATACATTGCTATAATTAAATAATGACTGGTCTTAACAAATTCTCGTTGTTAAAACCAATGAGGAGTGTTAGGAATATGGAGGATGAGCCCAATCACATCCCTGTGTTCGCATGACTTTAAGCTGATCTGTAACCCTATGAAACAATTGATAATACTCATGCACTTAAAATTAAGCATGTGTGTCATCACTCACAGGACTGGAGCCAGTGTTTTGAAACTAGTTTAAATTTTACCTTACAAAAACAACAGATATGACAATGGGTCATCACAGCTCAGGTTTTATATGTTACTTCAGAGGCTCCAGCAGGCCAAAACATATGATTTAATGTGTATCTGGGCATCAGGAAACATCTGTTTTCCTTTAATTTTTTTTTTTAATTTGTTTAATTTGTAGTTCTATGTACATGTAAGGTAAAATTCCTAATTTTCTATGAATATGCTATATTCATGATTTGGGATTTAATTCTCAATTATAATAGGAAACAAATTATTGTACATTCACAATTCAATGAAATAGGAGAACATAATCAATTACATTAGGGATGTCTGAAAGTAATGGCTGTCCGTCTGAAAAAAACTTCAGACACCCTTCATACTGAAAGCCCCTCATGCCAATTTGCATGATGATTAAATAGCTTTTTAATTGCTGTTAAATTATGCCAGTTAAACTGTGATTTCATGCAAATATTAAGCTGTAATGACATGCAGTGAATCATTTACTAAGATTTAGAACTTGGAACAAAGAGAAACAATTAATTCTAGCCCTCAGATTCAGCTAAATTATGTGTCATTGGGCTTTTATGAATGTGGCCTGATTGCTTTGTTATCATTTATAAATTATACAAAGATTATTCAACACATCAAAAATCTTGGCAGCAATAACCCTTCTGCAGACGTCTATGGGCAAAACTCTTGGGGATTTCCTTACACTGATTTTTAAGGAAATCAAGTCTACTGGTGAAAATGATGGATCCTTTTCTCAACAGCAAAATTCGTGACTTAAGATTTTATATGGAAGAGTAAAACACTTCAGATGGTTGAGCACTGGAAAAAAAGGCAGCTCTTCTGCTTTTTGGATGAAAACAGCCTGGGTGTGAACAATGTCATTTACAAATTATAATGAAAAAAACTATCACTACACTCTCTGTGGAGCAGACTGGAACTGATTTATTATGGAGAAGAGGACTCACTCCAAAAGCTACAGAGCTGAGTTTATGCCTCATGCAGTGATTTGTACCTCATTTAACTTCTTTGTGCATCCTCTCCTTCCATGAAGGTGAAGCGCATTTTGCCCTTCGTGGAAGGAGGGAGGAGCAGTCAAAATGCTGCAGAAGTCTAGTGAAGGCAATGTAGTATTTAAACACTGGGCAATGACAGTCTGGAAAATACTTTCTGCTTTTTCAAGTGAGAACTGTTCATTACCAACTACTAAACTCTAATAATTGGGTGTTACTTGACTACTAAATTCACAGTGGATGTGGCTGAAATTAATCACCTCCTTAGAATACCCAGAATCAGCATCTAGCTGTGTCCCCTGTGCTCATAGTAGCTTTCTTATATATACACATATATGCAATATAGATGAGTATTGCCACTTGGTTTGGAATGCTGTATGACACTTTTGCCTTTTCAGAATTACTTATTTCTTTCTCAGTGAGGCAAGAAGGAAGAATTTCCTCATGATAGGAACTGGTGACTGCAAAGGAATATTCCAAGTCTGAGCATAATCATAAATTGCACCCAAATATATGCATATAAATGACAATAGCAGCAGTAGAGTCAAAGGCTTCAAGCACGTTGCTTGATTTTACTGCTGGAAAACAGAGGTGGACCTTAAAGAGCTTCAATATAGAGGATACAGTTTGTAGCAGTGGTTACTGAACAGAACATAAGCACTATTGCTGCAAAATTGTTTAATTAATATGAAACAATATGTCTTAATATGTCTCTTAATATGAAAAGAGACATATTCAGACCCAGAGACCCAACATAAGTTTGCCTGTCTCTGACCTTGAAAAGATGGATCAATCTATCCAATTACATTATAGTGGAAAATGTTAGAGTTTATGTACACAGTAATCAGATGGAGAATTAGGTAATGCTGCTATTTGTTGCTCACTGTATGTACAGAGAGATCAGTGATAGAGTACATTCACATATGACAAAGAAATACAATAAGGATAAAAAATAGTAGCAAGAGATTGATAAAAAATGTCAATCAAGTGGAAAAAGGCTAGGAGAAAGTAATTAACAATACATCCTAATGTCACTTTCTTTTTCCCTTCTATTATGCTTTCCCTTCTACTATGCTACAAAGTACACGCTCCTATAAAATACTGTACAATTTAGGAAAAACATACAATATGCACTTGTGCAGAATTAATAATACTAGATTCAAAGCTCAGCTGAAAAAAAAATGGATGCCTGAAGCTAGGCTCTTAAATGCATTGCGTCTTAAATCAAGGCCATTAATCTCCATACTGCTGCTTATGCAAGTTTTCCAGTACCAAGGAAAAAATACTGAAGTGAGAAATAATGTCTAACCCCACAAAGGAATGCGAAGAAAGAAAGAAGAAATCTGGGCACCTGATCTAGTGGGTGGCAACCTTGCACATGGCAGTGCATTGAAACTGGGTGCTCTCTAAGGTCCCTTTCAACCCAAGCCCTCTATGTGAGTCTATAATGCTGTGATCTACCTATTTTAGCCATCTTGCTTTGCAGGATCTAGGGAGCAAATAAAAAAGGCATGAATGTAGTTGGTTTAAAATATTTGAAGATGAAGGGGTTTTTAAAGTGAATTCACTATTAATTCTGTGTTTGATTCAAGAATGACTCTTGATTAAAAAATCAGAAGAAAAATGTGACTAACATGTCAGAACACGAATTTGCAGGTTGACATAAAAAATGTAGATTTGGTCCAAAAATAGTTATGTACAAAATTCATTTTCTTACTGTACAGCCCTTTCTCTTTATGAATTTTAGGTGGCTTATTTTTTCCTAACTTTTCATCTCCTCTTATTAGAGCAAAGCATGACAGTTTGGAAGAAACAAGCTAAATTCTAACCTGTCTCATACATCACTAGTATCTTTGTTTATTAAATTTAAATTAGTCACATCTGTACAGATCCTCCAAAAGCAGTGAGGTTGCATTTATGACAAACAATTTTAATAACTGAGAGCATAATTTGAAAGCAGTGGGGCTAAATATACCACTTAGGGAATAATTTGGTCTGCAGATTCTTCATTACTGATGATGTGAAAGAAGATAAGAGCACAGTCTGCCTGTCAGAAGCTTAGTCATTTGCAGAGCTGACAATTAGTGAAATAATCATCATTGTAGGTATAAGATGAATATATCTGCTGTTACATTCAATGAAGTACTGACACCTTGCAATCTAGGCTGAATAAGAGGTAATGCATGGTGGCACTGAACAAGGAACAAGGCAAAAACTAGAATGTGGTTCACTGTCTCCCTTACTATTTCTTCAAGGCTGAAGTGAGATGAGATGTTGTGGTTGTTTTCTTCTTTTCCTCAGTTCACTTGGTTGCTTTGCCTGATGTCCTCAGAAAAACAAAGTGGTCTGGCAAAAAGTCTTTACTGACAGTTTTCAACCAAAGCAGCTCTCTGCAGTTTTTTATAGTGTGAGGAAGAGGGATTCGGGGTGCTGTAAGTACCCACTCCCTTGATGCCACATGGATCACACACACCTCACAAACCTTACCAAGAGTAGTGAGCAGCAGGGTTTAAAACCGAGCCCTGAAAGACAATGAGAGAAACCTTTTGCCATGCATGAGTAATTTTTCAGAGAACTGTCCTTTGTAAATGAAAAATCAATGACATAAACAATATGGAGTCAGATGTACATAATGCATGAGTGAAACCATTGTCTTAAGCATGAAACTGTCAAGGGTGCCTGGATTGTGTGTTAGTTCTGTGGGTAAGTTTTCAAGGCCTGTGCTCAGGGCACTCGTTTGACTGGAATTATATGTAAGCCCAACTTCCTGTGGGAAGTCTGGATAAACACAGTTTTTCCCCCTCGCATATTCTGTGAAAAATGACAGGCCTATGTGCTTTGCTCCAGAGTGGCCTGACAGCAGATTGTGCTACTTGGGTTGAAGTTCTTATTTGAACCTTATGTGTCATGACATTATGTCTCTTCAGCAACTGGAGACTGGGACTTACCCTTCACCTCTGAATGCTCTGTGGTTAGATTAGACAACTTCCTGATAAGCTTCATGGATCTGTGAAATGTCATTTTTGATGAAGATCACTGCTATTCAGTAGACAGACAAGGCTTAGTCTGTGTAATGATCTGAGGAGTATGGAATGCCTAAAACTTCATGAATCCAAATTGTGTGGTGTATTCCCAATTTACCCAGAACAGTGCCATATGATGATACTACCGTTAGCATGGGAAAAGGTTTGACTACTGCTGTCAGCTCAGTTACTTTTACATGATTAGACACACCAAAAAATTGACTGTGCACTGCTAGTTATTGCAACAGTACTCTTATTTATTTATTTTTTTTAATCTGAGGAGACAGGAGTTTATGCCATATCAGTTTTTTGTTGTTGTTTATAAGCATCCTCAGTTTTTTGGATGTTGCACATATTTTCATGTCTTCAAAATATACATTGATAATTAAAATTCAACATTGCTATCTCTATGACAGTGATTACAAACCTTATATTACTTCTCAGAACTACAAGTTAATAAATCATTGAAGTACAAAACATGTCAGTATTTTCAGGGATACCAGTACTAAATAAAATTCTGCTGTTCAAAATCTGATTTTAAAAATCTCTATTGGTAATTTTTAGCAGGATTCTTCATAAAATGTGCCATTGTTTTTTTAAATACAAAAATGATGCATGCAAGAGAATTGCAGAGACTGGTACTGATCAGACTTACGGGTACATGCCATAGTTGGTGGATCTTTCTCAGCTCTGAAGTAACCTTTTTCACACTGACATACTGAAGTTGCTTCAACATAGGTTGAACTGTGTGGAGGGCACTTGGAGCACTTTACATTTCCAGCAAATGCTTTATAGAATCCAGGCCTGCAAGCTGCAAAACAAGAAAATAATGTCATTAATAGCAGCAAGATTTGGCCATAGGTAAAATCTGCTTCATGCAGTTATAACGCGTTGTCTTTCAACCTAGATACATACTATTCTCACCACTTAAAAGTTTTTGTTTTGGTCTACAGACAACAACAAAAAAATGCTTTTCTTTATATCTGATGTAAAAACATTGAAAGAGACAGCTTCCTAATATACTGACAGCCCTTGCTGCTGCTTGAAGTTGTCACCTAGAAAACTTCACTAATGTCAGTAAACACAAGCACACTGTCTATGATCTATGTCTGTTCTGTATATTAATAAATAGAAAGAACGGGATACTTTCTCATCCGTCAATTCTATTTATATGGCTTCCTTATTGAAGTAATGGAGATTCGCAAGGCTCAAGATGCTTGTCCTCACAATGCCTTGATGACAAGGATGACACCCCTGTTCTTACAGGTAGGTCTGACCTGTCCACAGTCCCCTGAGATGGCACTTACAGAAGGGTCATATTAGATGGGTCCTTTGTACCTCATTGGAATAAAGGCTGTGTGGTGCTGCTGCAACAATCTTTGGAGACTAGGAAAGAGGTGCCAATAAATCTAGCACAAAACTACAGCAAGCCTCAGGCTACTCTTTACCGTGTTAATAAACAACTGGGATAGCAGCTGCCTGGGGACAGATATTGCAATGATCAGACCCCACTGCCCACCCAGCTGGAGATGGAGTACCAGAAGTTGCTGGTGACAGCACAACTTTAGATGCCCATTTGCTGGCCTTTAAAGCAGAAACAACTAGTTAAAATATGTTTTCATAAAAGTGCCTGGTTAGCATTCCGAAATATTATTTTTAAACTGTCCTCAGAAATTGTCACACACGTTTAAACAGATTTCTTCCTTTCTTCCAGCTACCACGTTTAAACACTCACCAGTATATTCTGCAGTTACTGTCTTTTGACTTCCCGTCAATGAACAAAACAAAAACAAATTGAAGAGCAATTCTAGCATGTACAGTCAGCACAGGCTCAAATTCCTCCTGATTTTCACCAGTACAATGAAAGTTCTTGCTATAATTATTACTTTTAAGACCCATGTGGAGTTTTCTTGTTTCGACATATTCAGGACTGTTTCTTTTACACTGTGTTACAAGAACTAGGCTGCATTTCCTTCTCTTGCAATATGGTAATAACGCTCTATAAATAAACACCAAGAATTATGAATTTTACAGATAAACTGTCAATTCAAACTAGGTTTGTCATTAAAAGGTACTAACTTTTAGATAACATATGCACAGATTAGTTTTGCTTCTGATTCCAAAGCACCTGTTTGATACCAAAGTGGTTTCATTAAGAGTCTGGGGGACAAGGAGTGAGAGGAGCTGAAAAAAAGTAACTGCTGATTCCTTACCAGAATCCAGAGCCAATTTTTCAAATGTAAGCATAAGAGCTTAATTATGACTCAACTATTTCAGCAGTTCTCCCAGCGAGTTCTTCTGACTATGCTGAATAGATGTGAAGAAGGAATTCTGCCCTGCCGTCATTAAAGAAAAAAAATAAATGTATTTCTGGTGCTACAGATAAGAAAGGCGGGAACAGCAGGGATTTTCCCTTTAAGTAGGGAAATCTGCTGATCTGATACCTGTGTGATTACAGTCAGTGGCAATTTTCCAATGATTGGAATGACAGTGGGTTTGGTGTAAGGAAGACAGCAGTATTGGTGATGCTGACTCTTCCTACCTTGCTGGAAGGAAGTAAGAGATGAAGTAAAGTAGAATGTGGGAAGGGTGCCATGAATGCTTGCTCCTCTTTTTCTCATGCCCAAACCCTAACATGCCTTATCTGAAGATGAATATTGTTTTAATAGCTACCTTTCACATGTGTGTTGCCACACAAAGAAGTCTGTGATTAAAGAGTTGGCAATTCAAGGTTATCTTTGCAGTCAAATGAATACTTTTTAAAATTCTTATCACTTCCAAAATCTTTTCTATCAGACATTAAATAACTCCATTTTTCCTTCCATTCCTCAAATAATAAAACACTTTGGACCGAAAGAAACACAGCTTCCCCTTTCAAGATAAGTTTGAACTTTAAGCTTTTCACTAATACAAAATTCAAAGAGAAAATTACTACCAATTTAAAAATGCAATTGTTTTATTCTGAAATGGTTTTCTGGAGTGTATTTAAAGTTTCAATACGGTTTGATTTGTTTTTGTCTGAAAAGAAAGCATATATACACTCATGGAAATGCCAGGGTAAAAAATGGGTGAATATGTAGATCCTTTACTTTCTTTTGAAGCCAACCCAAATACATGCACCATCATGTCAGATGTATCCCACACATTCCAAAAAGAAGACAGCAGGGCATCTTTCATATGGTTATGCTTATGAAACTGTTGAGAACCCTCCCCACATCCAAATGTAGAATAAGACAATCACAATTACTGCACACTTTCAAATAAAATCCAGCCTTTCAGAAACAAGTTGAAAAACTCTTGCATATTCACAAGCCTGGAAGAACTCATCTCTTGGTGTAACTCGATGGTCACTGTCAACATTCAAGGTGAAACAAAACAGTCTATTAAGATCACTGAATATGCAGCACAGGACTGAAATACCAGCACTTCAGCTGCCATACACAGCTTAGACTCTGCCAGCAAATATTATGCTTCAATGGCAGAATTTCAACTTTAACAAGATGTAATTGTTTATAATTTTCCATGGAAAACTTGTAAAAATTAGATTTACTATCAAAGTTTTTAAAAGTTTATTTAACAGAAAACATGTACAATGCCACATTTTAAGGACTATGATTTCTTTTGACTTGTTATGAATTAGATTTTGGCAGGTTGTTTATGGACTGCTACTAAACAGGCACAAGCTGAGTATATCTTAACACAACTCATGGTCTGTAAATCCTGGTCCTCTCATGAAGAAAAGAAGATTCTCTCTAACTCTTTAGCATATTTTAGCAAGACTGACTATGGTTTGGCCTCTTTCATGGAGCTTAAGGCTCTGTAAGACCACTTCCAGCTCAAAGCAATTCCAATCAACACTTAAAGGAAAACTGTACAAATAAGTCAAGGGTATTTGTGTTCCATTTCCAATTTGTACAGAACATTTTGCAAAACTGGAGTCTGTAAATGATCTGCTATGAGATAACAGACTGCATCACTGCAACTCACTGTGATATCAAACCATATACGGTGCTTGAGGCATTCAACTCCAGAGTCCTAAAATCACATGGTATCTAAAATAAGGATAAAGATACGACTCCCTAAAGAGCATAATCAACACAACTACCTACATGCTCAATGTTAACCAAACTCCTTTATGAAGCAGGATTTTAGCTTTTGCCCAGCTTCCGATCATTTCTATTTTTTGTTCTTCAGAACTCACACAGTGCACAAAGTGCATGATGGGCAAATCAGAAACTCAGAGACTTAATTATTAATACGTTATGGTTTTGTATTTGGAAAGGGATAAAAAAGCCATCTTCTCCATGCAAAACGACAGCCTATGTAAAATACATTACATGTAAGTTGAAAGTTTGTACTAAATGCTTATGTATGCAGGAAATTTTGTTTTCTATGTGCACTTTCAAAGGTTTTATCACAGCATCTCCCTCACTCAGCTAATAGCTAAGTAGATCATTTGTAGATATTATTTGTGCATCGATAACTATCCCTTCTCCCCGCAAAAAGTTTGTTTTTGTGTTTGTTACCACACAGCATTGTTTTTTCTAACCTCTAAATCACTGACAGGCATTTTATTTTCCCTAACTTTATCTAACAGAAGTGACTTTCTGAGCTACTAATTATACGAACTGTATAAGATTTGACTTTTGTAAAGCCTGGGGGATGATAATAAAATATTGCCTTAATTGGGTAAATAATTAGCAGGGTGTCTGAATGAACAATTCAAAGACACTAAAGTTTTCTCCAGTGAAATACCAGGGCTCATACAGAGAAGTACTGGCAATTTAATTGGCATCACAAATGATAACACACCTATGAATGTGCTACTACTACAGCTTTATCAGGATTTGATTATGGTGTTTTAAGTTATAAAACCTTTGTAATGAGTATCATTTTCCTTATTTAATGTTTAATGTATGACATTTAGTTTTTGATTGTGTTATACATAAATGCATACAAAGAGAACACTCTGCAAAGCCCTGGTGAACTCTTCGAGAAAGTGATTTATGACTTGCTAGTGTCTCAGCTTGGGATGAGAGTAGGAGAAGGTGTTTATCCAGCAGTTGCAAAACAGTTTTAGTGCTGTTGGTGCTATGTGCAGGGGTGCTGAATGAGACTGTAAAAACAGTTGAGGTGCATTGTGCACCAAAGCCCCAAGATATTGTTTGCAATAAGATACAACCTGAATGCTTCCCAAGTGTAGGTGTATGGCACTTTCCAAAGGGTCCTGTGCTCTTCCCCATGCATGGCAGCACAGCCTGTGGCCATAACCACTCCAGAAGACCCCCCAGCACCTCTCCCCACTAAGTGTTCAGCTATGAGGGCTCTGGGTCAGTGCAGAGTTCAAGTTCAAGGCCCTGCCTGGACTTAGCCAGGGAGCCCTGGATACTGCAGGTCCTGTGGTGGTTCAACAACTCAAACTAATAGCTGGATATATATTGTAGAAAGTGCAAAGAAAGCTATGCTACACCGAAGTACCACTGGGAATTCAGATAAATTGCCAATGCCAGCAGACCCAGACAAAGGCTGCACATGGTCTAACAGGCCCTGCTCTCGTGGCACTTCTCAGGTTGTTATGAGTAAGGGCTTCAATTCCTGCTAGATTGGACAACATTTTTAAGGTTCTTTTGATTTATCCAGCGTAACAAACAAGGTAATGGGCCAATGACCAGTCTTTTCTAATCAAGAAAACTATGGCTGTTGAGTGCCTTCCTCACCTGACAGGTACTCCATGCTGACAAATGCAGATATGGTGGTCGTATTAGTGGCCACAAAACTTTCTGCTTTAAAACAAAAGGGACATTTTCACTG